TTTATGTCATCTTGCACTGTTCCCTTGTGTTGCAGTTCATGTTTCCTGAATTCTGTATCTTTTCATTTCTCAATTTACTCTATTGCTTTTAGTGGAACACATCCCCCAGAAGCATCCTAAAAAAGGGTACATGGGAGGGTACAATTTTGAGCCCTTGAATGCCTATGAATATTGTTAGATTATTCTTATAACTGATTGATAATTTGACTTCGTATAGAATTCAAAGTGAAAATTTCCCTTAGGCTTTTGAGGGTATTTCTCCATTATCTTCAGCTTCCAGTGTTGATATTGAAAAGTTTAATCATTTCCAATCCTTTGTTCATGATTCATCCTACCACCTCCAGAATTGTTTATCTCTTATGCTATTTTCTAAGTCTTTTAAAAAACCCTTTCCCTTCTATTGTCTATCTCTTTGTCATTTTTTCTGTATTTGAGAGCTTTCCATGTCTTTGTCTTCTAAGCTTTCCATTGCATTTTAATTTTTATCATATTTTTTATTTACAAAAGGTTCTCTCTTAGCTTCCAATTGTTCTTCCCTCCCCATTTTTGCTTCATAGATGTAATAACTTCTCTTCTCCCCAAATATATTAAGTTATGCATATTGTTTGGGGAAATTTTTTACTTCTCCCCTCATTTTCACTGTTTCTTTTATGCTTTTATTCCCGTTATTTTGGTCTACCTTTCATATTAAAGACTTTCTTCAAATGCCTGGTCACCCTTGTCTGACTTTTCATGTGAAAGGATGAGAAACTACAAAACTGGCAACTCTGTGTGTGGGGGCAGCGTAGGGTGGTGGAGCGCCCACATCGCTTTTTCACTGAGGACCTGCAAATGCCAGCATTGGGTGATTGTTTCCCTGGAGTGATTTGGTTTCTACAGAGAAAAATTCCTAGTCTTTTGTTTGGGGCCAATACTCCAGTCTTTGTAAAGAGAGCTAATGGGAGGAAGCAGAGGGGAGGGGAGCAGTCTTCTTATTCAACATATAGACTTTCATTTATTTCCCCTATTTTCAGCTCCAAACCTCACACCTCCTCTCCTAAGGCTAGCATTCCCAAATTCAGTCTCCCTAGTCCATTTTTCCAAGAAATACATCTCTAGTCTCATGCAAGGATAAACAAAGGGAGAGACCTAGGAGCCATAGCATTTGGCATGTTGTTTTCCACCAGTTTCCGGTTATCAGCTTTGTTCTTGCATCGTTCTCCAGGGGCTCCTGTCCTTCCCATCCTGAGCTTTTCAGAAGTTCTGCCCGGCCGGGCGTGGCTCAGCAGTTGAGCGTCCACCCAGGATCCAGGCGATCGGGGTTCGATTCCCGGTCAGGGCACATGCCCGGGTTACGGGCTCGATCCCCAGTCGGGGGCGTGCAGGAGGCAGCCGATCAATGACTCTCTCATCATTGATGTTTCTATCTCTCTATCCCTCTCCTTTCCTCTCTATGAAAGCAATAAAGATATATTTAAAAAAAAAAAAAGAGAGAAGTTCTAAGGAAGAGATCACCTGACTTTTCACTGGAATCCCACTTTACAAGCATTCTTGGTGCTTCCTCCTTTCTGCTAAGACAATGAGTTTTTAACCTATTCTTTTTGACCTAATGAGTTAAAAACAAAAATAAAATTACTTTACTGTCATTTTAGTGGGCTTCTGAAATATAGATGTTTGTATGCCTAATCTGCCATGTTTAATGTAGTCGCAGGTGGGTTCCCAGGAAGCAGATGCTGAGAGAGTTTGGGGTTCAAAGTTAGAGATCTAAAGGGGAGGGGGTAAATGGAGATGTAAAAAAAAAGTTAGAGATCAATACTTGTGAAAGAAAAGAGAAGGAAACAGGATTGAGCAGAGGGAGACGTCAAACCATGATGCAGGTCTGACAAAGCCTCAGCCGATCCAGCAAGGAGCTGGGGAGTGAGCAGTGTTAGTCAGAATTGTCCTTCATCCAGCAGAAATGGCTGGGCCTTCAGAGCCCTGCCTCACTGAAATGTGAGCTGCCTGGGAAGAGTTTGGCCTTAGGTGTAAAGAAAAAACTCAGCTTTCCATCTGTGTTTCTCTCCTGTGTGTTTCCTTTGCTACTCATACAGAACACTTCACTTCTGATACTTCTGGTTACCAAACGTATAGAGGATTTTCCCTAAAACAAGCAATTCTCTGCAACACCAGCCGGGTGTTCCTACAATTTAACTCACTTCTGACACTATCAACCACTAAATAGTGTCAGATCCCACAGGTTATGGGCTCAGCCCAACAAGACTGCTCCTACCCCATATCAGATGCCAATAGCAGGTAGTAGGTCTCCAGGTTACCTAGGCTTTCGTTCCAGTTTGACTAAAAATCAGAGGTTCTCACACCCCCTCCTCAGGTTCAATTAATTTGTGAGAGCAGCTCACAGAACTAAAGGAAACATTTATGTTTAACAGCTTATTAAAGTATATCATAAAAGATACAGAAGAACAGCCAGGTGAAGAGACACATAGAATGAGGTCCAGGAGGGTCATATCTAAGAAACCACTCTGTGATCCAAAGTCATGAAGGTTTACACTGATATTTTCTTCTAAGATTTTGTAATTTTAGCTCTTACATGTAAGTCTTTAATCCATTTTGAGTTAATTTTTATATGTAGTGTGAGATAGCAGTCCAAATGTGGATATCTAGTTGTCCCAACCACCATAGATGTTAAACCTTGAGAATAGCATGATTCACTTTTTGAAAGTTAAAAAAATACCTATTGATTGTTTCTTGGCCTTTTGGCTAAGATCAACTGAAGTAAATAGCTATTGACATCTACTCTGTATGCATATTATATTAGGTATTATGATACATAAGATGATTCTCTTCTTTCTGGTTATTAGTTTCTGATTCTTATGCACTGGGCCACTTGCCTTTAAAATTTTATTTATTAACTGCTAGTATTAGAATGTTGGACAGGATAATGGTCATGTACAGAGAATTTAAAGCATGCCACTTAAGAATTCTTTTGTGGTTGACCTGTATCCATTAAAAAGTTCATTTTGAGTAGACTTGTTTAAGTGCCTAAGAATTCAGGAAAAATGGGATGGGTACTTACTATTTGTAAGGCACTGAATTAAGTGCCAGAGATACAAAGAAATATAAAACATGCTCTGTTCTGTCATTGAGCTCACAGTCTAGTGGGAGAAAGTGACACATTCTAAAGAAACTTCAACCCACTCACCAAACCATCATCCTATCTCACACCAAGTCATTTTGTCCAAGACATTCTAAGAGACTTACTAAAATTATAATGTGTTTAGAATCCCTTTTATTTAGTAAACATCTGATCTTAATTAAGGAGAATGATTTTTTTAAGATCCCATGCTAGCTCCTGATGGTCAGTTCTTTACCTATGTGCTTACACACCATTATAAATAAATCTGTTTATAATTTTATACTTCTTTGTCCATAGTTCCTAGTCATAGAGGGAGTTCCTCTCTTTTTTACTTTGCCATTATTGTTAGTTGAACAAAAGTTGTCCATTCCCAATCTTCAGACTCCTTTATTATTTTCCAGGATTATTAAACATTAATCTGTAATAATTCTGTGAAATTGACTTCTCTTGCTAAGTTAGTTAGGAAAAATCTCAACCTTTCACATGACTCTTTACATAACAGTCTTCTTTTCCATCTTAGTAAATGCAATCATTATAATAGTGGGCCAAGTAAGGCAGGTAGATGTAGTCCAAAATCAAAGGCTAGAATGAAGAAGTGATATTATGTAAGGTAGGAAAAATATATTTTTAAAAAAGATAATGGATGAAGGTGACTCTCTATAATTTAACAGAGTGAGAAAATAAATAAGAATGAGCATAAATAAACAAGATTGGACATCTCACAATGATCTAATTTTTAAAGTACAGCATATATTTTTGGTCCTCAGGATCCTAGTAAAACTGGCAAAAACTTACCTGACCCTCAAGTCTCCTTATCCTAAAATGAATACACTTTGGTCTGAAGGCTAATTCATGTCTCCTACTTTCCCCCTCAAATCCCAGCCTTAGCGTGGCTACGTGAACTCTGGGGCTCTGGTTACAGCCTGTGTCCTAGGAACCGGCCTAACTGGTCTTCTCAATCCTTCTCAGAGAAAATTTCTTTTTTTCTGGCTCAAAACTCCTAGATTCTTTGCACTCTCTCATTTAGCCTGGATGTTTCATCTGAGATACATGCCTTATCCACAGGCCTGGCAACGGTGACTGGCATGTGTTTCCCTTTTGAAATGAGGTTATCCATTGTCACAACTCTGAGCAACTTGAAGACATAGAACTAACAGAAAGTGTAATGTTTCTTCCAAACTTGAGGATTTTGTAGCATGAGTGAATCTTTCTGACTGTCCATCACTTATTATTGAAAATGATGTGCCCAGCAGAGGTTTATAAGATTGCGCCAATCCCTATGGGCATCACAATATGCTCTAAAGTTACTCTTTAAAAAAAAAATTAAATCCATGATGTCTATTTTTTTGTGTGTGTGTCTCCTTCTAAAAATATAGAGCCATAAAAAATATCCTCCGGTGAACCCAGCCCCAGGAGTTGGGTTTGTATTAACAGAGATTCTACTATAAGAAAATTCATATAGTAGAATTTTTTTTTTTTAAAGAAAGTGATTATAATCCAAACACTACCAGTGCTCCCAACTCATGATCAGAAGTGACATATTTTAAATCGTTCCCCGGGTTTTCACATGCAGACAAAGAACTGTGTAAGCGGGGTTTTCTGTTTATCCATTTCCTTGCAATTTCACTGTTTTTGCTGCACCGTGATGAGAGGGGCATTAGATGAGAAATCATTATGAATTGTTGTTGACAGGAAGAAGAACAGCCGGGATCAGTGATTAAAAAGAGAATGAAGCAAGGGCCTGGTGGGGAAGGATGCGGCGGTGCAGCTGCCGCCTCAGCGTGAGAGCGCAGACCTGTCATGCACGTGGGGGGAACACATGGTCCCCTTCCATCCTTGCAGGGCCCCCATTTCCGCTGAGTTCTCTGCTGACTCTAGTTCTCAGTCCAGAAGGAACTGGCACAGCGTTTACTACCTGGAGGGATCAGAAATAAAGACCAAGACTCCCGTGGTGCCTTTGAACAAGTAAGTTTAGAAAGCCACAAAAGGGTGGACAGATTGCTAATGGCAGCGGGAGGTGGGCATGCCTTCTATAGGATCGCCCCAAAGGAATGCTATCTGTGGGCAACCAGGGAGAAGAGCCAGATCTCTGCCTGAAAAACATCTCATTGCCTGGGTGGGGACTAGGCAGAGACACTGGCTCCGCATTTATATACTGTCAAGGGGACTGCTTAGGAAGAATGGCACACAGAAGGCAATTTTCTTCCCTTGGCATGGTGACCCCTCGTTTTTTGCATAAAACACACTAGCACCTGGACAAAGCTCTTTGGAAATTCTCCCAAGTGCACTTTCTGGGACATGCCAGGTTTATGGCAGTCACTGGGGACCACAGAATCTTAGAATTAAAAAGCCAGAAAGGGCTTTAGAGGTCATCCAGTTAGCTGTGTGTGCCCAACAGACACTGAGTGAATCATGAGTTTTCATCCAGTTTGGCATCTGCCTGTGAAATTACATGATGTCACTTCAAAGCTGACAGATGAGCAGCCTGGCTGCAGCCAATATTTGTGTGGGCTGCCTCATGCCCAGGCGTTAGCTGGTTAATTTGATGAGAAATCAGCTCTTTCTGACTCAATGGACTGCAGCATCAGCACTCTTGTCTGGGCTGGGCTTTGTTTTCTGTCAATGTCACGGTGATTGCTGGGGCTCTGGTTTTCTCCCTTCCCCGCCCTGCCTCTGACTTTCTGGTGGGCTCACTCTTCTCTCCTCGGCTCAGCGCCCCTTGCATTCTGCCTTCTGACAACCTCTGCCCTCAAATCAGGGAGGAAGAGGGGCAGAGAGCAGGCCTCATGTCTCAGGATGAGGGTTGGTTGTCTACCTTCTCCCAGCCTGAAGTTCTCCCCTTGTCTTCTGGGCTCAGGATCCCCCCGGTCCCCTCATCGCCTCACCTACAGCACACTGGGAGGTTTTGTGCAGTGGAAAGGCCTGCACTGATCCTGATTTCAGCCTGTGGGGCAGGGCCTCAGACCAGGCCAGACACGAAGGGGGAACTGTGAAGATTTAGTTCCAGTGAACACCCTCAAGTGGGGTGAAGACACGGGAGTCTTCATCCTTAAACCAAGGGGACCTCTAGTCACAGAAGCAATGAACAGTGATGGAATAGGCCGCAGACCTTTCTCTTACCCACTTGGTCAAAACGTGTCTCCTGATCTGAAGCACGAGCCTGAGAGAAAGACACAAACATGTTGAGGAAACGATTGTTGAGAAAGACTGTGACTGAAATGAACCTAAACTGGAAGAGACAGATTTTACTGCAGGAATGAATAAAAGCAATGTTTGTCCATTCCACCTCTGAATCAGCAAGTAATCCAGCTCTTGTCAGAGATTCTTAAGAGTTATGATAGTTAAACGTCTATATTAATGGGGAAATCCCCATAAAGTCTGAATCGGTGCTTTTTAACCTTAGCTGCACATTGGAATCATCTGGCTAGGGGTGGGGGAGTGGGGGGAGGCTTTAAAAATACTATGCCTGGGTCCTACTCTCAGAAATTTTGATTCATTCGGTCTGGGGTGCTGCCTGGGCATTGGAATCTTAAAAACCTGCCCAGTTAAATCTAATCTAACAATCAAGGATGAGAACCAATGTTCTGAAAAGAAATGCTCATATGTAACAGGGAAACTTTTCAGAAATGAAGTTTTTCTTTCTTTTCTCTAGGAAGAGAGATATCATAAAGCGCCTTAGAAACACAAAGGACTCTCCTTTAGAAGGGCAATTACCTTGGAATCTGAGGGTGGTTTCTTTCAGACCTGCAGCTGAAGAGAAGCCACTGGGGTCTGAACTCAACAGTCTCTGTCGACAGAAAAAGGGAATACGCTTAGATGCTTTAAGTTTTGAAATTTCAGAAGTCTACTCAACCCTTTGTTGCAGATCCTCAGAGAGAGTGAAAAGAGAGAATGGTTGAGGGTCAGCTGATGTCCTGGCAGGTGTCTATATATGACTCTTACCTTTACTTTTTGCTGCTCTGTGCCTGAAACTCCCTTCTCCCTCTTATCAAGTTCCCAGCTCAAATTTCAANTATGACTCTTACCTTTACTTTTTGCTGCTCTGCCTGAAACTCCCTTCTCCCTCTTATCAAGTTCCCAGCTCAAATTTCAACTGTCCTCCCTGCAGTTTTCCCTGACACCGGGGGTAAAATGAACCTGTCTTGCATTCCTAGAGTACTACATGTATATTTTTATTCCCACACGTGTCACATTGTATTACAGTTGTTTGTTTACCTGCCTGCCTTCTTTCCCAGCTGGACTGTCAACTTCCTCAAATCAGGGACTTCACTTTTCATCTTTATGTAGTAAACGCTGAGAGTGTCTGACATATGGTAAGTGCTTCACAAATATTTATGGAACTAATCAGAAACAATAGATTAGGTTCTTAGACTAGCTCAAAATCCTGCTTAACTTATAATGTAATTGAGAGAGATATACAAGTAATGAATGGTAGAGAGCAATAATGTGGAACCATATCCGTCTTTAAAGTACTGTGAAATTTGTTTAAACATACAGGATCAGTAAGAACATTAAATACTTAATGCCAAAATTTCTCAACAGGTTTCCAGGCAGTGGTGCAGGCATCTTGTGCGTGGGGTAGAAGTGTGGCTGGAGGTGGGGCTGGGAAGACTGCTGGAGCTTGTTGCGAGAAGCTGTGTGTGCTATGGGAGGCATTTGAACTCCACACTATGGTGTTGTGGAGCTAGAGGAGTCCTCCAAGCAGAAATGACAAAATCCTATTAGTCACTTAGAAAAGAATCAGTTGGTTTAGAAAGAAGCCTAGACGCTGAGGGCACTGGCAGCTGAATAATGTTACGGTGGAATCCTTGACTGAAAACTGGGAACGGCTATGGCTGCTGTTTGTTGATTTGGTTCTTCTGAGGCCTCTTGGTTTGTAAGGCATCTGTATCCTTATAATAAACTCCAAATCCCCCTCTACTTGAGCTATTTTAAGTACGCTTCTCTTCCCTACAACCAGATGTGCCCTAATACAACATATAAAATGAATTCTGTTTTAGAGACTCAATCCATGCATAATCACTGATATACCCCCAAATGTATATAATTCCACATATCCTTTTATTCTTTAAAGCAGAAAACAAAGTCTGTAGCATATAGAGGGGGCAGAGGAGAGAAAGGAAAATAAGTGGTAAAGCAGCTGCTTCTGTAATTCATGTAAACTTTCTCTCAAATCTTCTCAAATTAATCTTTTTATTTAGGTGAGTGAGTGCATATATATGAATATGTGTGTATGCCAAATATAACAGAATAATCAGTAGAGTGTTACTTAGGAAAACAAGAAGGCAGAGGACATGGAATTGTAGCACAAAGTTCCGTGACATACATAGAAAGCAAACAATTTAAAATGGATCCCAATAATACTAAAATGTACACATAAACATTATCTAATTTTTTTTCAAGAAATTCTAAATAGATGCCTAAGTTATTCATTTTCTTCAGCACTTATAATTGTTATAAATAACCAATTGAAAGGCCTTCTCTAAACCCATGTCTTATTTTAATCAAGGAAAATAGCTTTCTGAATTGTAGTCAAATTCCTGCATGTGAGTATTTAAATTGGTCTTAATTTTCTGAAAATACTTGGTGGGTTGGTTCTGGGTGTGATTAATTTTCATCTTCTCTCTGACTCAGCTTTGCCACATGAGCATTACTTTTTATGGGCATTGCCATAGATTTGGGCTAATAGTGCAGCTTCCTTTTCCTTAGAAGAGAGTTAGGGGAGGCTTTCTGGATTCAGTGGAACATTTGTAGGCAGAGTTCTGCATTTAAAATTAGGATCTGAACAAGGGATTCTAAGCTGATGAGGCGTGGCCCTCTGAGGGAGAGGTCTGGGTGCTTTTCTCCTCACTGACCCAGGACCTACTTTCCCCCAGGAGGAGAGGAGCCAGGAGAGGGAGATCTGGCCTTCCCTTCTCAGCATCTGTGACAGAGGAAGTCATTGGAAATCAACAATTAAGTGACCAGTCCAGGGTCAGAAACTTGGAGGCCAGGCTTGCTCAGAGAACAGAAGCAGCAAAGCAATAACCCTATAAGGACAAGATAGGATGGGCTAGTGGGTAAGTGCGCAGGTCCTGAAACCAGGGTACTGGATGCTCAAACTCCAGCCTGCCCTTTATTTACTGACTTTCTTGACCTCTCCGGCCCTAATTTCTCACCTGAATAGACACACGGTAATAACAGCACCTCCCTCATAATATTGCTTTCAGGACTCAATGTGATACCAGGTGTAAAATGGTTTGATTCTAGCTCATGTGTGACAAATGTTTTATATTACTGATATAAAACTCGCCAACGTGGAGGAGAGACATGCAGTGAAGGGACAGGGCCTGGGACAGCAGCATGGAGGGGATGTGGGTGGACACAGGCTGCATCTCACAGTCCTTCTTTTCTACCTTCACCTGTCCCATGGTAACGTGTGCTCTTCTGGCCGGGCAGCTGCACCAACATGTAATAAAAATAAGAGATTTGGAGCCTCCTCAGAAAGCAAAGAACAGCTGTGCCTTTCTCCTCTGCTCAGCTTATTTTTGTTCCCTGTGAAGGCCATGCTAGCTACTAAGAACAAGACATCCCTTCCTCCCCCCCCCCAA